TAGCAATTTCAAAAGATCATCAATTGGAAAAACAGATTATACTTCAACTTTCACAACGACATTGAGTTCGAATGATGTAACATCAGAATCGTTTGCAACAGAGTTCCCTAGTATAGAAGAAATTGAAGCATCTGTGGAAAGCGGATCTAAAATAGGATTTAATAATGACTTTTCTAGTATTCCTACTAACACAGAAAATAAGGATGATACCACTTTAAATTTGGAAGTTTCGTATGATAACCCTATCTCGAGTGAGCCAGAATCCATTTTACCAGGAAATTCATCAACTGACAAGGAAATACCTGTGGAAACCAAAGATAAAATAAACGCATATGATAAAGAGGCGGAGTCGTCTTTTGCACCACCTATCGCAGGAGAGATGTCGGAATCTTTGGGGGGAAGAATGACGTCTCTGAAAGATACCGAATCATGGATTTCTGTAGAGAAGTCGTCTGAAACAAAATCTGCAACACAAATAGATGATTTTGATACAGTATTTGCAGATTTAACAGATGCCAAAGTAACAAAAACGCCACCTATTAACTTTGATGCAGATTTTGATGACACAGACTTTAAAGAAGAATTTAATCCCACATTTGATGCACCTGTTACGCATTCTAAAGCTACGTCCAATACAAATAGTATCGGAAGTAACGTGGGTGTAACATCATCAATTAATTCAACAAAAAATAGTTCAACAGATTTTGATAAATTTGGTAAAGCTTTTGGAGGCTTTGACCCCTTTTCATCAAGCACAACTTCCAAAGCTACTAAACCCAATCTGGTAGAAGCAGCATTTGGTGGAATTTCGGGAGAGCCACAAAAATCAACGAATCCATCTATCGGTTTTGATGATGCATTCGAGGAATTATTTAAACCATCTTCTACACCATCTACCAAAACAGAACCACCATTGGATCCGAAGTCCATAACAACTAATGAATTAAAAACATTAATTTCATCAGAATCGTCACAGCCAAAGGTACAAAGCGTGGATGATGATGATGATGACGATGTAGAGCAAGTCAAACAATTAAGAGCTATGGGATTTTCGAGGGAAAAATCTATAGACGCACTTGGGAGATACGATTACGACATAGAAAAGGCATCCAATTTTTTGTTGGAAAATCTTTGATATTAAATTGTTAAAATAGTATAAGATAATCAATTATAAAATATCACAATCTATGAATTTAATCATTTTATGACTGTAATAATTACATGTGTATACATTCATTTATACGTATCATTTTAACAATAATTTATGTTTATGGAAATTATATATATATAAAAACAAAAAAAAGGTTTACGATTATGACTAGTTAATCATCTATTGAACATATTAATTTCAAGTTGGTACCGATTGCATAAAATATTTTAGTAATATGCACCTGGATGGTCGAATCTTACTAATTTATTGAAACCTACTGATAATATTTAAATATATAGACAGTATCAAATCCAATGTCAATTAGTGCAAGAGTTAAAATTAGGGTTTAGGGCACAGGAGCATAAGGCATTAGGGTGGAACATCAACAAACTATGTTTGATACGTTGATCAAATACTATAATTATTTTTATATTGTTTAATTATAAAAAAAAGAGCAAAATTCTAAAAGATTCACATAAATATCGTACTTATTTTTCGAATTTCTTTTGAATGAAAAATGTTCTTTAGAACCAGTTCGAAGGTTCTGCATTTAATTTTTCGTGATAGCTCTAAATAAGTTTAAACTTATGATTTTGAGGTTTAAATTACCAGAATTTAACATATTCTATAAGACAAAAGTACAAAACTTATATATTGATAGAAGATTTTAAAATGTAGCTTTATTCTTCATTATTTTATAAACAATTCGTGAAAGTTTCAAGGTAATTTGATGCCTTGATAATAAGTTGAATCGCTTTGAAATTTCGAGTATCAATATTAATAATTATACAGACAAAATTAAGTAATTTAGAGCTTAAATTTGACTGATCAGTGATGCATAATTTAGAAATACAGTATACAGTATTAAATATGCAATCTGAAGTTGATTGCCGTTTGATATAAAAAATGCTATAATTATCTAACATAGCTTTGATTACTTAGTTGATGTTTTACCCTAATAAGGGGGACGTCAACATAGCGGGCTTTAATTTGATTGGATGATCGACACGAAAAGTTACACAATATGTTCTACATATTGGCGTAACGTT